AAACAAAAGAGATAGAGAAACAAGTACAAGATTTGTTGGATACAAAAGAGTCTAAGCCCTTGTGTTGTGCCTGTTTTATTGGTGCCTAAAAAGGATGGAAAATGGAGGATGTGTTGTGACTGTAGAGCCATCAATAACATCACCATTAAATATAGGCACTCAATTCCTAGGCTTGATGACATGCTTGATGAGTTGCATGGGTTATCCATATTTTACAAAATAGATCTTAAAAGTGGATATCACTAAATTCGGATTAAGGAAGGTGATGAGTGGAAGACTGCTTTTAAGACTAAGTTTGGATTATATGAATGGTTAGTAATGCCATTTGGGCTTACTAATGCACCTAGCACATTCATGAGGCTGATGAATCATGTCCTTAGGGATTGCGTTGCTAGATTTGTAGTTGTCTATTTTGATGATATATTAATCTATAACAAAAGTCTAAGTGATTATGTGGATCACCTAAGACAAGTCTTACTTGTGCTTAGAGACAATCACTTGTTTGCCAATATAGACAAGTGCACTTTTTGTGTTGATAATGTTATATTTTTAGGATTTGTGGTGAGCAAACAAGGGGTTCATGTGGACCCCGAGAAAATCAAAGCCATTCAAGAATGGCCTATTCCTACTAATGTAAGTGAAGTTAGGAGCTTCCATGGATTGGAAAGCTTTTATAGACGTTTTGTTCCTAACTTCTCTACATTAGATTCACCTCTCAACGAGTTGGTGAAGAAGGATGTGGTCTTTCTTTGGCAAGAAAAACATAATTTAGCCTTTCAAGAACTTAAGCAAAAACTCACTCAAGCACCTGTTCTAGCTCTCCCTGATTTTAGCAAAACTTTTGAGCTAGAATGTGATGCTTCAGGTCTTGGTATAGGAGTTGTGTTGTTACAAGGTGGCCACCCCATAGCTTATTTCAGTGAAAAACTTCATGGGGCTGCCTTGAACTACCCAACCTATGACAAGGAGTTGTATGCTTTGGTTCGAGCCCTTCAAACTTGGGAACATTATCTTGTAACCAAGGAATTTGTCATTCATAGTGATCATGAATCACTTAAATACTTGAAGGGCCAAGGTAAGTTAAATAAGAGGCATGCAAAATGGGTTGAGTACCTAGAACAATTTCCTTATGTCATCATAAGAAGGGCTCTACAAATGTAGTAGCTGATGCTTTATCAAGAAGAAAAGTATTGTTAAACATCCTAGGATCTCAAATACTAGGATTTGATGACATAAAGGAATTGTATGAGAAAGATCCGGATTTTGCTAACTTTTATCTCTTATGTATTCAAAAACCTTATCAAGGTTACTATATTTCCGAGGGATTTCTTTTTAAAGAAAACAAAATTTGTATTCCCCAAGGATCTATTAGGAAACTCTTGGTAAAGGAGAGCCATGAGGGTGGGCTCATGGGGCATTTTGGGATTGAGAAGACTCTTTTACTTTTGAAAAAGAAATTCTTTTGGCCTCATATGAAAAGAGATGTTCAAAAGTTTTGTACTAGATGCATAGCTTGTCTTAAGCTAAATCTACCACAAAACCTCATGGACTATACACCCCCTTACCAATATCCAATGCTCCTTGGGTAGACATTTCCATGGATTTTATCCTTGGTTTGCCTAGAACCCAAAGAGGAAAGGATTCCATCTTTGTGGTAGTGGACCGTTTTAGTAAAATGGCACACTTTATTCCATGCCACAAAGTGGATGATGCAAGCAATATTGTTAAATTATTCTTTCAAGAAGTAGTGAGACTTTATGGGATACCTAAGACTATAGTTTCGGATAGAGATGTTAAGTTCCTTAGCCATTTTTGGAAAACTTTGTGGGCAAGGCTAGGAACTAAACTTCTATTTTCTACCACATGTCACCCACAAACTGATGGGCAAACTGAGGTAGTCAATAGGTCTCTTGGAGCTATGTTGAGGGCAATCCTCAAGGGCAATAAAAAGTCATGGGATGACTATCTCCCTCATGTGGAGTTTGCCTACAACAGGGTGGTTCATAAAACCACCAAGATGTCTCCTTTTGAGATTGTTTATTGTTTCAATCCTTTTACCCCTTTATACTTATTACCCCTACCTGACATTGCTTCTTTTATTCATAAAGAAGGAACATCTAGGACTGAATTTGTTAAGAACTTGCATGAGAGAGTTAGAAATCATATACAATCCCAAACTGAAAAATACACTAAATACAATAATAAGGGTAGAAAGGAAGTTGTCTTCAATGAAGGTAACTGGGTTTGGCTCCACCTTAGGAAGGATCAATTTCCTTCCAAAAGAAAGTCTAAACTTAGTCCTAGAGGGGATGGACCCTTTCAAGTCCTTAAGCGTATCAACAATAATGCCTATGTCCTAGATCTCCCCTCTGAGTATGGGGTTAGTCCTAGTTTCAACATATCTGATTTATCTCTTTTTACAGGACTTGCTGACCAAGAGGAGGATTCTTTGGATTTGAGGACAAATCCTCTTCAAGAGGGAGGGGATGATGGAGGAGGCCCATGGGCCAAAGGCCCAACTACTAGGGCTATGGCCAAGAGGATACAAGAAGAATGGGCTCATGCTCAAGAGAAGCCCATAGTACTCTTTAGTTGGGCTTTGACTCAAGAACAAGTAGATTAGGTTATAGTATAGGTTTGGGCCTTTGGGCTTGTATTGTATTTTTGGGCCTTGTATTTCGGCCACCTAGGTTAGTAATTCTCATTTCATTGCCATGTGAATTTAGGGTTAATCTAGGTTAGCATGTGCATGTTCATTTGCATGTAATTAGTAGTTCATTTAGCATGCATTTCGGCCATGTGCACACATGCACAAGGTGTGACCGAAATGATGCTTAAATGAGTACCAAATTACATCCAAATGAGAGGCGCACATGGTGGTGACCGGTTTGGCACCAAAATTTGAATTTAAACATTCAAATTTTGGCGCCTAAGGTTAGTTAAACCATGGTATGGTTTAACCTAACCTTGGGTCAAGCCAAACTTGTTCACTACACTAGCTTCTCTATATATTCACCTTGGCCGGATATTGTAGCCACTTTTGGATATTATATGAGAATTTTCTTCTTGTGCAAATTCTCCACCGAAAGTCCTCTAAGATCCTTTCTTCCCCTCTACTTGAGCTTCTCTCTTTGTAGAGTTAGGATCCCTAATCTTCTATCGGGAATTGGAAGGTTAACCTTGGCTACTCTTGCTCCTTCTTCTTAGCTTCAAGTCCTTGTATCCATCTCAAGGATCCGAGAAGGAGTTTCTTGTAAAGCATCATGGAGTTTTCACCATTGAAGGCTCCATCATAGATTCTGCCATTGAAGATCCAATACAACTTGATTAAGAGGTATTTCATAAAAATCCTTCCTTTAATCTATTATTCTTGTCATACAACATTGTTAATCAATAAAAGCAACCATGTAGACATCTTAGGTGAAATCATGTAATTTTAAATTCAAATGTAATTAGTTTATTAATAAAAGGGGAGTAAATGTTAAAATTATTATTCTACATTACGCTAATTTCATCACAAGGATACTAATTTAGAGCATTGTAGGGTGTTTAACACCTTCCCTACATGTAACTGACCTCAAAGCCCAATTCTGGTTATAAAGGCCAAGCTGGCATTTTTCAAAAAACATTTTCTTTTTTTCGATGTTTTGAGTAAAACATCGGTGGTGACTCTCACGAACCATCTTTCAAAACTATTAATTAAATATTAGTCTAGACTCCGGACATTCCTTAACTGATAAAATTTTCAAATTGAAAGTAAATCATCTGTTAGTTAGATCGAAATTTTTGGATTCCAACACCCTTGGGTAGGATCAACCCTACCCGCTTCTCTTTCCCCAAAATAAATAAATACATAAATAAAAAATAATATAAAATACCTTTCCCCTCTATAAGAATAAAAATAATTCAGACTAAAATATAATAATAATATTATTATCTTAGAAAATAAGGTATTACACTTAAATTAAATGAACTTTGATATTTGATATATATTTATTGGTAATTAACTAAAAAATATCTTTGACTTTAAAGAATTATAGAAGTTAACAACCATAAAATATAAGTGATAACATCTATATTAAAATCAATTATTATTTGTTAAAGTTAACTACAACTTAACAATGTTATTAAAACTAGTGTGGTTATGTGATAATTAAATAAGTAGCTCATGTTTAATGGTTCAACTGGAACTACAGTTAGTCCTTAAGTTTGAAGATCTTAAGTTCAAGGCTTAGAATATATAAATATTATTTTTTTTTAATTTTTAGTAATAGAAGGGTGTAATAGTTATCAAATATGGAGACCAAAACAATATTAGTAATGTCAAGTTAGTCCATATCTTTATATTTGTTTAAAGATATTTAAGTGTTATACCTAATCTTCCAACCTCAATACGTCAAGTTTGAATCTTAAATTTGTAAGATTTTTAATATTTAAAAATTTAAGAATAAAACAGTTCAAAATTGTGTACATAATAACAAAAAATCAACTTTATATATAGATGCAAATATTACAAAAATACTACTTTAATAATATTTGAAAAATATTTTTTAATTAATGTAAAAATGTTATTAAAAATATTTAACATAAATTATATACATGTGATAATATATTACAAAAATAAATTAACATTTATGAACAATTAAATAATATTTTTTAAATATTGTTAAAAGCTCTTTTTATTATAGACAGCATTTTATGAATTTTTATTTAAAATAATTAAACCAAACTTTTTTTGAAATTTTAAATATTTTTTTAAAAATATTTTATAAAAATGAAAACAGAAAATAAAAATAAAAAACATTTTCTGTAATCCGCCACACCCTAATATTTTCACACGCAAAAGTAGTTGGTAATCATATGGTACAGCGACGAAATTGAGAAAAAGCAAGTAAAAGGGGGTAAAGTAAATAAATAAATAGAGAGGTCTCGACTAGCTTAACGGTAAAAAAATATTAAAATAAATTAAAGCAATTTTAAAAAAAATTAGAGTCCACGTGTACACTTTTAAAACAACTAAATTTAATTTTTTAGATGATAAAAGATTAACTAAAGCTAAAAAAATTAAGAACACATGTATAGGCTAGCCTATGTTTTTTCAAGTTCAAACAAAATCATCTTACTTCAAAATGAATTTTTAATTATAATTCTATAAAAAAAATTAGAGAAAGCTATCAAAGAGTGATTTCCTCATCTCATGCATAGTGACACCGGGTTGGACTTCTCTCAGCTTGAAGATACTCTCAATCACAGAGAGCTCTGTAGCTGTAGTGTCTGAACCACAAAATGCTATCCAATCATTTACTGTCATGCCAGCAGCTAGTAATTCACTGCCACGATTGACAGTCCCAGCGACCAAAGGAACATCAAGAAGTGTAGAAAGTTCCTCCAATTCTTCAATGGATGTATGAGGGTGAACCTGCACTAAGTGCATGTATGCTCACAAGATAGTACATATATTTTGAAGATAGGATATTCAAGAGGACCCGTCTTGTGCTTACCAAACCACCTCTGTTGGAAAATGTACAGTAACTTCCTACAATGATATTAGAGGCAATAGTCTGCCTGAAAACTTCTACTTTAAGAACATCTGCAATCATATCCTCAGTTTCCTGAACAAAAATTTCAGTAAATAATAATACTAAATCAGGACAAGAATCATTATCCAAAAAAACAACAGAAGTTTTCCGTAGGGGTGGATGGGGACAAAAGCCAATGTGCTAATAAAAACTATCATGATTCATGAGACATAAACGGATCACAACAAGGGGACAGTTTTGATGGGCAAATAGTAGCCTTGATGTAAGGGCCTTCACAAGAGAATCATTTTCCGTTATAATTTAAGGAATTGTTTCATTCAGAAAACCAGCATTAGTAACCCTATCTGTCTATATAATCTTGAAATGCTAACAAAAAAAGGCCAGAAGTTTTCCGTAGCGGTGGATGGGGACAAAAGCCAATGTGCTAATAAAAACTATCATGATTCATGAGACAAACGGATCACAACAAGGGGACAGTTTTGATGGGCAAATAGTAGCCTTGATGTAAGGGCCTTCACAAGAGAATCATTTTCCGTTATAATTTAAGGAATTGTTTCATTCAGAAAACCAGCATTAGTAACCCTATCTGTCTATATAATCTTGAAATGCTAACAAAAAAGGCCAGAAGGTTAACTATCTATTCATACAAGTTTATTTTTCTTTTTTGATAAAGGCTGAAGTACTTGGATACATAATCCTGAACCCAAATCTATGTTTATATAAAAATGACTTTTACACGTCACATGGTTAGTGGTCAAATTACCTAGTCTACACCTTTCAAAAAACTATTTACAATTTTCAATATTTCATGAGCTGTGGTCATAACCTAAAAATTAGGTAACTCCTATAAAGTGGAAAGTTTGTGAAGTTAGAATGCAGGGGTATATCCTCCCTTGATTGTGGCTTAAGTTTACATGATACTTTAAATTTAGAAGAGTCAAATTCAAAAATTTAAATGATCAGATTCAGAATGACAAGCACTGGGTATGTGACAGGTTAGGCATGTCTTATTGTCTTTATTCAGGATCCATGTTTAACATGAAAATATGTGTCTCTCCAAATCAAATTCCAATCCTAAATAAGAGATAAGCATATGAATGAAAAGTCTATAATCTATAATAATACAATACCTTGTCAAGATCAATGTGTGTCAAGGCCACATGGTCATTACATGCTATACAATTTCCCAAAGCAGTTAATCTTTCATCAATACGCTGAACAAGAACTTGATCAGGTAGACTGTTTCTCAAATGTTGAAGCTCTTCAGCAATAGCCATGGCAAAAGGATAAAGTACCATAAGTCCAAAAGTCAGTACAAAATCACAACAGATGATGAGTATAACCAACAAAGTAGAAACAATAGATATATGCCATAAAAGAGGAAAATAACACCCACGGATAATCATAAACGACCAATTCATACTACTACAAATAAGCAGATCAAACCCCAGCAAAAGAATGAAAAAATGTTGAAAGGGCTCAACCCAAGGTGTCATTAAAGATTGCAAATGCTGCAGGAGGCCAAACAAAAGTTTTCAGAATATTTTGGCAGTGGAATAAGTTTCTAGTCAATCAACATAAAAGTAGGGAATATAAATTTGGTGACTAAATTGGCATTTTTATGCACAGAAATGGTTAGTCATATATACAATTTTTTCACGATCTCATCAATGCTAACAGCACTCAACATCATTGTTCAAATACCAACAAACATTCTAAGAGTCCCTTTGCATGAATCATGAATGAATAAATAGCTTCTATTTCCTCACCACTTAAAACTTGCCTTCAAATTGTTGTGGAGGAGGCAAACGATGAATATGATCACATTTATAGCACCATAAAATACATTACTACCAAAAAGTCCATGACATACCAAAATCAAAAACTACAGTTCACAGCACCAGCTTTTGATCACCCTTACTCCAATTACAAGACAAGAAGATACTATATATGGTAGATGAACTGTCAAATACTGACACAGAACCTCGTACTAACTGGCTTTTTCCTTTGTCAACTAAAAATGCATATGCATCATCTTGTACACAGATAATTTTACCATTTACAACACCAGAAAATTGGGGTTAGCTTAGTTTGACAATGCTATTTAAAAGAGCAGTTAGAGTACTTGATGATCAATAATAATATGTTTTGACAGACAATAATGCATGACCATAAAATCGCATCAAACAATACTATGCATGGTTGTCAAACTCGCAAGTCAACTCGTCGACTCGGACGAGTTTACGATTCTAGAGGAGCAAAACTGGTTAACTCACTTGTAGAATCGTTTTTGGGTAGACTCGGGTAGACTCGGTCAGAGTCGCGAGTCGGAGCCCGAGTCCACGAGTCTGGTTACATTTTTTTTTTTACCCCTAAATGGCCCAAAACGACGTCGTTTTTGCCTAGGGTTAGTTAGTAAGAACACCAGTTTCCCTGCACGCGAGCTTCCTCCACCATTCTCACGTTTTTGAGTCTCCCTCCGCACCATTGGAACACCCATCTCCGCCTCAACGAACGCGCAGCTCCGCCTCAACGAACGCGCATCTCCGCCGCTGCGAACACACGTCTCCGCCGCTGCGAACGCACGTCTCCGCCGCTGCGAACGGTGCCGCAATCGAACACCGCCGTATACGAACGCCTCATTGCAGCTTCTGCCGCATACGAACGCCTCATTGCAGCTTCAAGCGTCATCGTGAATTCGTGAGTGTTACTTCTCAGTTCTCACTCCTATAATTGCAAGATGTCTGAAACCGGTGGTGGTTCAAAGTCTTCAAGCAATGCAGTTTCTCACATACATTTGTTGGAGGATTGGACTTTGATTGATTAATTTAGATCTTGTTTTATGTTTTTGATTTGTGGACTTATGTGTTTTCGACTTTTGGTTGTTTATGTATGGGTTAGGTTTTGATTATGAAATTTTTTTTTTGTTATTTGTCTTATTTCAGACTTAGAATGTTGAAATAGTGATATCATATTGTGTGTGTTCATGTTTTTTAATATATTTTAATATTAGGTAGACTCTTACGAGTCAACGAGTCGAGTCTACCAGAAGAGTCTACCAGAGCTCCACGAGTTTGTGTAGACTCTCGAGTTTGACAACCTTGATACTATGAATAAAAACAAATGAAAAGGTGATAATAAGAATCACCTTGGTCTGTGGTGGTATGGGGCAAGAGAAGCCCATTCTTGTTTCCTGCAAACAAATGAAAAGGTAAGCTAATTAGGTGATAGGTATATAAAAAAATAAATTGAAAGAGAGCGGAGAGACATCACTTAAAAGTGGAAAGCAAAATGACATAGGTCCGGTTAGAATAAACTTATTCATAAGTACCTGTAGTAGAAGAAAATATGAAGTTAAATGAATCATTTTTTGTCCTTAGGTTAAAAACAACTTATTCACCTCAACCTTTTCAGAAGTTCTCTCATCTAAACTTCATTAAAAGCGGAAAAGTAGAAGTTGTTTTTAACTTATGAGAGAAGTTTAATTCACTTAACTTTTTTATTTTCTTTTCCTATTAAGTGTTTGTTGAAAAGCTTATCCAAACAGATCTATAGCCCAACACAACAACGGATATTATTAAGGATTCAGGAAACCAAGGGTAAAAATTTACCAACACAAAGACGACCAACTGTACGAATGCCACTAATGGAGGTCTTGATCACTGGGATAACATCTGCTAACTCAGCTTCAAATGAGCTAACAACAACATATCATTTTTCATGTAACATTATCACAATATCCATCCATTTGAAACCAAGCATAAAGAAATTGAATCTACTAGGGAACATATTTTTATTAGTACAAAAAGAAAGAAAACCTGTAAAAGTTTTCAGAACCTCCAATAGCAACCAAACAATATGCATTGGTAAGTTTTGAAAACACTCCAACTTCACAACAATTCTCAAACTGAAGTCCTGCAGGGAATACATAATCATAGAGTGAATTATTCAAAGGGAAAAAATATTTTTTTCACAAAAGAAAATCCTATAGCAATAGATAATTATCACTAAGATGAGCAATATGTACAAACTCCTAATCATCACTTACTAGTTGCCATGACAAAGATTCCACTATTCCAGAAATCTTTAACCGAAGTAACCTAATAAGAAATTAGATACCTAATTAGGTAAACAAAAGAAAGGAAGCATGAGAACAAAATGTAGCAATAATACCAATGAGCACCCAAATGTTAAATATGTAAAGAAAACAATTTTGAAAAGCTTCATGATTATATCACGGTGAATGTTGTCAAAATTAAATCTTACTTGGGATTGGGAGGGATTGCAAGATTATTACTGTTCAATTTACTATATTATATGTAATGCTTCAAATAAATAAATTAAATAATAATAAATAACAAGTTGGGAAAAAAACAGCGAAAAACGTTTGGTCCACCTGGCCCAATTTCCTCAAAAACCCTAACTCCCTCTAAGACCACTAGTAGCTAAGAGAAACCCCACGGATCAAAAGCCCTGAAACATTTGTCTATGTCGGGAGAAGGTTACGAGATCCTAAAATCTCGCGATCAAGCAACAAGCTTGTATTGTGGAGGATCCACGGAGAACTAGAACCAAGGCTATCTAATGCTACACTATGACCAAGAATCAAGACAAACTGATAATAAATATACACTCAAAATCTTTAAACACACAAAAATGGGCAATAGGGTTACCTGGACAGAGAGCGGAAGCAACACACCTACTGGCTAGCGGAATTCACAAGTATAATATAACGTTGGCAGATGATAAACACACCTCCACTCTCATATAAACACACCTCCTTTTTAAAAAAATATATATAAAATATCTAAATTACCCTTAAAAAAAATAAAATTTCTAAATTTACACCCCCTTTTCCTTCCCCTTTCCCATCCCCGCACCCCGCACCCCCTTCCCCGCACCCCGCAGCCTCGTTAAGGAAAATAGATCCTCATCATACCCCTACTTTCTTCTCTCTTCGATCTCACTTCTACCCCTTTTTTCCAATATCTCTTCTTTTTCTATCACATCAATCACAGGTTCTATTACTTTCTCTCTCTACCCTCTCTCCTTTCTCTCTGTCTGTTATTTCCACTCCCAATTTTGAGTGGATGAATATCATTACTCCAATACAAACAAGCTACAGCTGTCATCGCATCTACTTTTCCAAAAATCATTTCCCATCAATGTTCACTACTTCGGTAAATCCGATGATAATGCGTTTCCTGGGAACAGCACAATATAAAGCCTACTCTTTATTTTCCATAATTTGATTTTGTTTCTTTTATCAAAAATTCATGTCAACGTTTTCAAAAAGAAAAAAAATGAACAAAACTCCACCACGCACTATTTTTCACAAGAAGAAAACAGATCAAATGCATGCAATAATAACAAGTAAAAATAATTCGAAGTCCCGAGACTGAGACCTCAACAAACGCACACGAATGAAAATAGAAATAAATGAGTGGAAGAAAAAAAAATCTATTACGGCGTAACGTTTGGAATAATGAAGGAAAGAGAGTGGTCCACCAAATAATAATATGATGAGAAAAATATCTGATTGGAGGAAATCAAGAGACAAGACACAACAAACAGAAAGATAAAAATTAGAGAAATGATAAGAGATGAAATGTGAAAGAAAAAAAGTAATAAGAAAGTGAAGAAATGGAAGGAGAAGAGATCAGATCGGAGAGGGAAGAAACGGACCGTCCATCTCGACGATGGGGTTGGCGACGGTGATCTTGTGGAAGGTCATGGCGGGCGGAGGAAGAGAAGGTTAGGTGAGAAGTAATATCGTGGGGAAGGGGGGTGTGGGGTGCGGGGTGCGGGGAAGGGGTTGCGGGGTGCAAATTTAGAAATTTTATTTTTTTAAGGGTAATTTAGACATTTTTTATATTTTTTTTAAAAAAGGGGTGTGTTTATATGAGAGTGGAGGTGTGTTTATCATCTCCCTATAATGTTTTGCAAGTTTATATTTTTAATTTTTAATAGGAATGTAGGTGGGCCAGGGTTATCTGAATACGCTAATCCAGCCCAATTAGGTTTTATCCTTTCGATTGGGTTATTGAGTTAATTTAGATTTATTTAAGGTTTATTTTAATTATTTATTTTTTTATATTTAGAAATTAATTTAGTCCTTTTAAAATTATAGTTATTTTTTAGTTTTGTAACACAATGTTGAATATATTTTTATTAATTTAAGATGTAAAAGTTATAACATTATATTATATTCATTTATATGAATATGAAATTAATTAAAATTTAAATGAAAAGTGGGATAGACATGATTAAAATTGCACAAATAAGTCCAAAATTATAAAATAAAAAATTAATTCATTTTATTTTTAATTGTTTGTGAGTTTTTTTTTTTACATAATTTTTATCATTTTTATAACGATTTTTCATTTAAACTTTAATGCACTAAATAGATTTTACATAAGTGAATTACAGAAGTCCAAAAGTCCAATGAGGGTAATTTAATAATTTACAGGGATATTTTAGTAGCCCAAAATGGGCTGTTCCAAAATTGGAACGGGCCATTCCAAGTTACTAAAATGAAGGTGATTTAGTGGCTCGGAACGGGCCTTTCCCAAAATGAAATAGGTCGTTCCAAATTATTAAATTTGTCTATGATTCTTAGTTGAGAACGGGCCGTTCTAGTTTCGGAACGGGCCGTTCCAAAATATGACCGTTGTGAGTTTTTAATGCAAACCCAGAATAGGCCGTTCTGGTTTGAGAACAAGTCGTTCTGGATGTGAATTTTACTCATGATTTAAGGGTCCAGAAAGGGTTTCGGATTTGGAACGGGTCATTCTGGAGACATCTGATCCTATAAATAGAGCACTCTGGCACTCCCAAAAAGCACAATTTTCACTTTTCTCTTCTTTTCTTCTTTGCTCTCTTCTTTTCCTTCTACACTCTCTGATGACCGAGGGGAGCTTAAAGGATGAGACCAACAAGATCCCTACAGCTACTGCTTATCAAGGTATGGGAGAAAAGGGGATTGTTTGTATGTAGAGTTACATGAGGGAATTGGGTAGATGAAGACTCCCTTAAGATTATGAGTAATTTTATAATTATTTATGTTTGAGGAATTGATGATCCCATTAGATTCTGTATGTGTTGAGGATTAGAAATATATATTTAATTTGTAAGAATGATGATCTGGGAGAGAGAACGAAATTGTAGAAAAGTGCTTGCGAGTTAAATTTTGGAATAATTGGGGGTTTTACCGTTTATGTTAAGATTATATTAAATTGGTAATTCCATTGATTATTATATTAATTTATGAATATTATTGTCGTATTATTTGATAAGAATTGATGATCTAGATGTGAATTGATTGAGGGGTGTGTAAACCCTTATTTTGTTGGACTTATCTGTTTTGTATGTGATATGGAATTGTGTATGTGATATGGAATTGACTATGAGATGAGATGTTGTATGGATGTGAATATGATTATGATTGTGGTTTCTCATATCAATGACTAGGAATGGCACGGCTCCTGGGTAAGTGATGCTACAGGGAAGGTGTGACCCTGACATGGTATGGGATGAGTAAGACAATTAACACGTATCACTTATGTCAAATATGGCAGCCCTGGCATAGGATTAATTGCAAGATTTGTGTGGATTATGATGTGATTGTGGTTCCTCACATCAATGACCAGGGATGGCACGGCCCCTGGGTAAGTGATGCTACAGGGAGGGCGTGACCCTAGCATGGTGTGGGATGAGTGAGACAATTAACCCATATCACTTATGTCAATTGTGGCGTGGCCTTGGCATAGTGTTAATTGTAAGATTTGTGTGAATTATGGATGTGAAAATGATAATGATAATGGTAAGATTTGTGTGGATTGTGATGGATTGATGTAATTGAGATGTGAAGATGATGAATGATTGATAAATTATGATATATATAAATGCTTGTGAATATTTCATTAAGGAGTTATGATGAGATTATGTTGTGTTTTTCCTTGTGTGCTTTTCATATAGATATTTTTTTTCTCACCGTACAACTTGTGGATGTTTTAGGTGAGGAAGATCCGGCTATGAGTGACATCTAGAATGCCAACGATTGAATTGTGGGTATGCTCTGATATTCTGACATCGGGGTAGAGGATTTCTAAGACATGAAATTTTTATATGGATATTGGAGCTGTATTTATTATTTTTAAAAACAATTTGTAAACTCTTATGTTTCATTTTCTAATTTATTTATTTTCAATCATTTTGGATATTGAAGAATATTTGTGAAGGTTTTTATGTGAACCATTTTACCAACGTTGAAAGATTTATACTTTAGCTTATTTACATTGTTACAATATATGTGCTGGGGTAGTAAGGGTGTCACAGTGAATATAATGAAATAAATTTCAAATCTTAAATTAGTTAAAAATGATTTAAAATTTTGTTTCAATTTTAGAAATAATCATTATTTCAAAAGGGACAAACTAATCCAAATATAAAAAGATAAATGACTAAAATAAACAATTTAAAAAATAAAGGACTAAATGAATCTTAAAATAAGATAAAGTATCAAAATTATAATTTATCTTTTATTAATATTCTCACATTCTTGAAAATCTTAAAGTGAGAATCTCATTTTCTCATATTTGGTAGTTATTTTAAAGGAATGTAGTCTATTGAAAATCATTTTTATTCTACTTTCTTACAAAAACATTTCCATAAGGGGGTGGAAATCTAATATTTTTGAGTTAGGGAGAAAGTTTAATGCATAAAAAAGACCATCAGAGTATCCTTTTTCAAAACAGAATATATTTCTCTTTCTCTCTCTATGTCTCTTACTTCACTCCCCTCTCTTCCTTTACCTCTCTCCCTGTCTCCCTCTCCCCCTCTCCTTCTTTCTCTCTCTCTCTCTCTATCCCCTTATATTTCTCTTTCTTTCTTTCTCTCACTCTCCTTCCCTTTTTCTTCCTCTCTCCCTCTCCCTCTCTCTCTCTCTTTCTTTTTCCCTTTCTTCTTCTATTCCTTTCTCTCCTTGTCTCTCTCACTCTCACTCCTCTTCTCTTCCTCTCCCTCTCATATATTTATTTTTCTCTTTTTTGTATTTCATTATTTCTTGACATTGTCAATTTTAATAATAATATTAAAGTCTGTTCTATTTCTATAGTTTAAGGTATTTGTTAAAACCTTTTAACTAATTAATTAATTTGAATGAAATAAATTTTTTTTTATCTTTCTTAATTATTATGTAACATTTTTCTTTGTTTATTTTTTTAATTCTATATTTAAATAATTTTAACTATAAATTTTTAACTTTTTAAAAATAGTTTAATGTCATATTTGTAATAAAATTTGAGTAAATAAATATATCTAATAAGTTTGTTTTAATAAATGATATTTTTGTAAATAAATTTATATTCCCAAAAATATAGTAGTATAACCAAACATGAAAATATTTAATTCTCGAGAATCTTATATGAATATTTTCATGAACTTTTATAAGTAACTAAATATATTTTAGTTACCTAGGAATCACAAACATATTTTAATTATTCTTAAGGAAAATGACTCCTAGGATTTGTAATTCCCAATAATTATGATTCCTGCGTATGAAAAAACTTCTCCTTTATCAAACGCCCCCAATTACACTATCTTCCCTCGAGAGATGTAAATATTATGTTGTCCTCCTTTCTTTTGTTAAAAATTACAATCTCCTCTCTCTATAGATTCTGATATATGACACTTTACTCATTTTTTAAAATTTTTCGTTAAAGTTCCATTAACTTTCATTATAAAAAAAAATTATTTTCAAAATATCATTTATGCTAACATTCCCTTAGAGATGTAAATATTACATCAACCTCCCTTAACAAATTTAAATGTGTTACACTTTAACAATTTATTTCTCAGTTTACATATTTAATTATTATTTAAAAATTATTATAAACTTTTCTAAAATTAACTATGTATCTTTTTTTTAAGCAGAATTAACTATGTATCTTAAAAAATATTTTTCATGATTATTGTTAAAGATATATATATATATATATATATCAAATAAAATAATATATTTATATAAATATATCAAATCAAATACAAGTTTTACAATATTATTAAATCGATGTAGTTGATATAATATTTTTATAGATATTTAAATAAATTATATTTTATTAATTATATATATTAGAGATAATATATAAGTATTATTGTATTATTTGATTGATGTTACTAATTTAATATTTTAATAATATCTAAATAAACAAGTATTTTATGATAAAGTATTATTTATTATATCTAATTAAAGTAATGCTAAAATGTGTATATAAAATCTATAATTTTGAAATAAATATATTTATATTAAAAATCTATTATTCAATAAAATATAATTACTACAAAATTTAATAATTATATATAAAAGTTAATTTATATTATTTATTGATGTATATAAAAGTATAATATATATATATATAATTTATTTTATAGTTTATATTTTATTTATTATTTTAATAATTAATTTAAATTTAATCATATATTTTACAACTTTTTAATCAGGTGAATGAATGATAATGAACTAAAATTATTTTAAAATATACTTTAATTAAAAGTATATTTTTTTAATGAATAATTAAGCCAAAAGTATTTTTTAAAATCTTATAATGATTTTTCTTAATAATGTTAAATTAATATAACAAGATAGTGATAATATAGTAATTGTATCTCTAAGGAATAAAATTGTAACTTATTTAATGTTTTAACATATAAAGGATGGACTTACATCTCATAAAAGGAGAAGACAATGTAATATTTTTATCTCTCAAGACAAAGTAAAATAATTTACTCTAAAACCTACAATCTCATCTCTCGATAGAATTCAATATATAACATTTTTGCATTTTGTGAAATTTTTTGTTAAATTTTGTTAACTTTCGGTAAAAACAAAAAGTCATTACCAAAATATCATTTACAATAATATCCCCTCAAAGATCTAAATATTACATTGTCTTTCCTTATTAAAATAAACACTTTTCTCCCTTAACAATATAAATGTTTTACTTCAACAATTTATCTCTTGATTTACATATTCATTTATTATTTTAAATTTTATAAAAAAAATTATACATTTAAAATATTTTTAGAGTTACCAAAATAAAAATTATATACATATATATTTATATATATATATATAATAAAATCAAACACATGTATTAAGATAATATTTAATTAATGTAGTTAATATAATATTTTTATAAATATTTGAATAAAATAATTATTTTATTATATAGTATTAATTATATATATTAAATTAAAGTAATATATATGTTTTAAGATAAATTTAATTGATGTGATTGATAAAATATTTTAAGAAATATCAAAATAAATGGATGTTTTATGACAAAATATTATTTATCAAATTTAACAAATATAATGTTAAAATATATATATTGTGACACCCTTTATCCCACATACATAATAAATATACATAATAAATATAAAGTACATTCCTGAGTAAATAAAAATTTCTTAAAAATAAGGTTTCAAAATACATAGATAGAGAGTTCACATTCATATTTCGCAAATCGTGATCCAATACAAAAATAATGACAAAATAAAACATTAATTTTTTCAAAACACAATAACAGTAATGAAACTCCAATGCTAATCCTAACTAAGCTCCGATGTCACATATCCTATCAGAGTATATCTAACTGAAGCCTAAGTCTCATCACCAACATCTTCATGCTAATGATCTCCTGCAACATAATTTAAACACATACAAGAACAACAAGGGAGTGAGAAACATCTCACTTAGGTTCAGGTGCATAAATAAAGGTTAAATAGCACACGCACACAAAAAACATATTACAAGTCACAAGTACCAATCACATATAAATAATACACATACATAATCAGTATTACATGTTCACTCATTTATCATGTAATGATGTCATGGACCCGACTCATAAATGCATGCATGTGGTGCCAGTAATTTACTATATTTTTTTCAGGTTCTTAAGCCCTCTCTCTGCTGTTCCCTTGGTTGCTCTGTCAGGTTTTGGACTTTATAAGTTGGGCTTTCTAGTGGTATTGATATCTGCAACAAGAACTAGTCCTTATTTCTTTCCTACATTTACAAATTATATGACTGTTATGATTTCTTGATCATGTCTTTTGAATTTTAGCGTGCAAAATGTGTGGAGATTGGGTTGCCAAGAGAAGTATGATAGATGCTGTAAGTTGTGGAGCACTTGGTGACATGACCCTAGCTGAAGTTAGGCACTTGATAAAAAAGATGGCCTCCAACTCTCAACAATTTAGTACTAGAAACGATAATGCAATTGTCATCAGAGGAGTTCATAATGTGGCCACTGATGCAGATAAAAAGTTGGAGAGTAAACTTGATGCATTGGTCAACGTAGTGACTCAACTTGCTGCAAATCAAAAATTTGCATCTATAGCAAGGGTCTGCGGCATTTGTTCTTCAAATGATCATCATACAAATATTCGCCCTTCTCTGCAGTAGTCTGGAGTAAATGAGCATCCAGAGGCATATGCTGCAAATATTTATAATAGACCTCATGTCCAACAACAACAACAGCAGAGTTATGACTTCTCCAACAATAAGTACAATCCAAGTTGGAGAAATCATCCTAATCTCAGATGGTCCAACCAACAACAACAACAACCATCCCTTTTATTCCAGAATACTCCTGGTCCTAGCAGATATGTGCCTCCTCCTGTCCAACAGCAGCAACAGAGACAACATGATGTTCCTGCACCTCCTCCAACTCAACCTTCTACTTTTTATTCTTCATTGGAGGAGTTGGTGAGCCAGATGACCATTCAGAACATGCAGTTTCAGCAAGAGACTAGAGCCTTGATATCCATGTCGTTATGGAAATCAAATAATTCCAGGTCCTCCGAATTAAAATGTAATGTAGTGAGCTAACCTAGGTCGAATCTCAAAGACAGAAATTAATTTGTTTGAAGATTTTATCAGTTCAATTAGCAAGGGGATTGAAGAACAGTTTAATGAATACTAGATCATAAATTCGAATCAATTGAAACAAGATGGAAATCTAATCAAATGAAAATACCAATTCAAATCTCAGATTTATACGGTAATAAGGAATTAATCCGAATTCCACTGTTTATCATTCAATTCGAATTGGAGAACGAAGAACACAATCATGTTCTATGGAAAATTAGACACAAATCTGTTTTATAAAATTCCAATCCAAATTGAATCCAACTTCGGTGTTTTAATTTCAAAACGAATTGAATCTGTTCTTGAATTAATTAGAGCTAAATCATAATCATGAATTTAGGTCGAATTAATCAAGAAATAGATTAGAGAGAAAGAGGAATTCCAGATTTTAAAGATTTTAAAGAACAGATTACCGCATAATCAGAAACTTGAATCGGTGCAACGAACCTAGCCGAGCATCTTCATCATCCTTGCTTCACAAATCTGTGTTCAAGTCTGAGAAGAAGTTCGTCCAAGAATTTCAAGAAGCAGAAACAGTTCGTGGAGAATGGAGGAGGGAAAAACAACTTGAATTCCAAGAAACTGAATCTGAAAAAAAATCTTTAAACTGACGAAAAGTATATTTTGGTTCAATGTAAGTTTTGCTATATGTAAAC